AAGAAACACATATACTTCTCTTTTCACAGGATGAAACCATTTTCCATGCCCAGGATCAAACACTGTACAACACACTGTGGGTAAGAAACTCTGTGTGCACAAGTAAATGCATGTTTGCATTTGAGAGAATCCAGTATGTGGACTAAACAGAGCCCGTAATTTAGTATTAATTTGGATAATGGCTGGTACAATAATGGGCCCTTTAGACAACATTATCAACAGCAATAATAGTAAATAAATAATGCTGAGGGTTTACTAAAAGAAACATCTCTCCTACACAGCAAAACTGGAGCAAATAGACAGAGCAAGTTTGTTTTAGCCACATGGCTGATTCACAAATAAAAGTTCATTAGTTTCTTGAGTTTGGAATCCTCTAGGCTAAATGTACTATTACAGTAATCACTGTAGTACATGGTGGCAAAGCTACAAATCCTTGATTTCCTCCATTTTATTTTCTGAAGCAGAGCCTACTTCCTAAACAGTTTTGTACTTTAATACCCATTTATTAAAAATACGATTCAGTTAGAAGACCTAAGTTCAGCTGGTATAAAACCTCAGGGACAAGGATGTTGACAAGGGACATGATGCAGCACTGAACATATGACCTCTATTTTGGAAGAACTACACTGGTCACCAGTTTCTTTCCAGGCACAATTCACAATGTTGAGTCTGAACTCTGAGCCCAGTACACATGAAGGATTTTTCTCCTATATGAGCCTACCCCCATCTATTAAGGTGTTTTCACAAGGATCTTCTCTGGCTACTCTGCCTTCTTTAATGAGAAGGGAGGTAACATGAACTAGGGATTTCTTGGTGGTAGAGCCATAATTATTGACTCCTCCCTAACTATCCAAGGAAATTCAACTGGCACCATACCTGGCTATATTTAAACACTAGAGGAAAACATAATTATCCTGTGAGGCTTCCCCTGAGTTTATCATTAAAGAGCCCTATTGATTATCTGCCCTTATTCCAGAACAAAACTGACTCCATGGGACTTATGGCTGTTTTCGGCAATTTTCTCTATTCCTGGGTTTAAAAGTGGTTCCACAGATGTTTCAAAAAATTTTTGTGTTGCTTCAAATAAATAAATGGGGGGAACCCTCTTGTAACCTCATTCTCATGATCCCTTCTTCTAATCTCATGTGTCCATCAGTGACTTCTCCTGTGTAAAGAGTGCATAAAGCAAAGTAGATAAATCTAGGAACATCGTACATTTTATAGTGCAAGTAAAATGAGGAGCCAGTGTCCTTATTGGCTGTATATGTTGTCTGTAGACAGTATAGCCGACACAGGGCTGGCTATCTGACTTAAATACTGGTCAAATATTTACATGAAGGGCAACTTATTTTTTACATTTATTAAAATATTTATATCCCACCTATCCTTGTGGTTCAAGGTGGCTTACAAAACTACACAAAGTTTGAGGCTAGTAACTAAGGCTACCTTTAGTTAACAGTAACTATGAAACACTGCAACTAAATTCTAAGCTAACAATGGTATGTCAGTATAAATATACAAATTGGGAACTCATTGGAATTCATGAGGCAACGAACCAACTTGGAAATCCCACCTCAGCCCCCTCTCCAGCCTTTCAAGGCATTTTGTGAGCTTTCAGGTTGTCAAGCAAGCTAATCCCCACTCCCTCAAATGACTTTCAACTGCTTCCAGGTCAGTACCTTATCGGGCCATGTTTGGGGTTAGTTTTCCTTTTAGTTAGTTTACAAAGCCTTTTTTTCTGCATAGCTAAGGAGTCCCCTGAGGATACAGAGACACCTCTTCTTTGTCTGTGGGAAGCCTGATTGGACTGCTTCCATGGCTGGCATGGGGCCCAGCTATTTTACTATTAGATACAGTGATGTGAACTACATTCAAAAGACAACAGTTGCTTGTATTGATACTAAAACATCTTAGGAAGGCCCTGTTTTAAATAAAATTATCACCTGTGAAACAAAAACATACACATAACTATAATTAAAAACTGTCTCATCTTTGTGATTATAGGACAGAGCTATCTGGTCCTATACTGGGAGTGGGCCTATGGAGGTGGGGAGAGCAGACGACTTCTGTAGAGCTGGGGATCAAAGGAGACCTCTCTCCTACTTTTGTCATGAAAGGACTGGATGGTACAATGGTAAAAGGTAATCTGCTATCTAGACACAGGCTTCATGAAATTAGTTGGCTGTGGTCAAATATTGGCCCTGTTCACACGAGGTGTTTTGGGCCGGGAGCGGGACGGATCGGGGGGCGGAGCAAATGGGCACGATCCCACGGAAACATCTGGGAATCGTTGCCTGCCTGTCCCCGATCCATCCCTCCCGCCCAAAAACCCGCACTAAAAAAGAACCACCTACCTAGGTGGTTCTTCGGAGAAGAGCGCCTCAAGCCGGCCGTGGGTTCGCCGGCGCGTCCTTGTGCCAGCGCATCCCCGGCCCCCGGCTGTACTGTGCATGCTCGAGCATACGCAGTCTGGCAGCCTCCCCCTCCCATTCGTCTCTTCCTCCCCAGCATCTGATCGTGCCAGAGAGTGACGCGCTGCGGCTTGGGGGATCCATGGGATCCCGCCGCGGCGTCTCAACTTTGGTGCGGCTTTTAGAAGCCGCACTTTTCCCAGTGTTTTCCCTGCCATGTGGCAGGGGCCAATGATCATTTGACCAGCCAAACTATTATTGTATTGTAAGATGTCATGAACCAGGGGAAAGGCAAGGTATAAACATTTTACTAAGTGGGCAAAAGTTAACATTCTTGCTTCACCCAAGTCCTCCAACTTCCCAGAAGACCACCTTCTTCTTTTTTGCCTCTTTTCAGTGTGAGTATGGTTATATGAATGTGTTTGGGAGAGGAAAGGTAAAGCTTCATCAGTATTAACGGAAAAGAAAATATGCATTTCAGCTTATACATCTGCTTCCCAAAATATATGATGAAAATAGCTTCACAAATCAAAGATTCCATAGAAAAATAGAAAGCACTGAATGTTAAGAAAGTGTCATTAGTTCTTATTAAAACTTAATAATAATTAATGTATTATTAAAACTTAAGAACCACTTTAAATTTGCTTTAAGTGAAAGCAGAATATTCTTGACTGTCAAAAAATGTTAAGAAATAGCTGTCATAGTCATCCTTTCATTATTAAAACTAAAGAACAGCTTTAAATGTGCTTTGAGTGTAAACAGAGTATCTTACCTGTTTCAATCACGTCTAAGACATATTCTGTAATTGCACCTCATTTTTATGTATCTATCCTATTCCTATGCCAAATTCATGTGCAAAAAATGGCTGACAAAATTCTGACAGAGTCCCAATTTTTATTGCAAAACATTTTTCAGCTTAAATTTACTGAGTTCTATTATAGTATCGATTAAGAGAAACATCTAACCCCCCCCCCCGAATATATTCATATGTCAAGAATTTCAAAGTACACACCTTGTTCTTGAAGTAAACCTCTATTGGCAAAATAAAACCAGCATACCCAGATTCTTCAACTTTGTATGGTGGATCTTTGCACACTGGGAGAAAAAGAAAAAGGAGTTTGAGCTTTTACATTTTGTGCAGTAATTCTATGTATGAAACTTTCAAATTCCCTTAAAAATTGAGAATTTTTTTTTAAAAAAATGTTACCAGCTACAAACCAATACCACACCCTATAGTGAAAATAAGTAGAAAATGTAGAGATGATTTCTTAATGTGGAGGAATCTATTAGCTACAGTGGAATAGCTGGGGATATAGCTTTACCTTTATACAAAGTGCATTTTGAACAACTCACATGATGCTATTTCAGCTACCACCCCATCTCAGATATTCTCATCCATGCAGCAGTTGCTACCATTTGCAAAGCTCTCCAAGAGCACCTCACTACTTGAGTGCCCATTCCTCCACCAAAATCCCTCCACATTTTTACGTACACAGATGACAAGAAGCTCAGCACAACTGGCTCCACATCTGAAAGGTTCAGCATGTGTTCATACACCATTGTTCCATTTCACTCAGAATTGTGTACTCTGACTAGAAGTGGCTCCATGTCTTCTGGCTTCTTCTCACTATCTACGTTTTATTTTGAGATGCCTGGACCTTCTGTATGAAAGCATGTACTGTACTAGCAAGAGATTCTTTGCTTGAAAAATCTTGACAGTATATTTTTACTCTACCTCAAACTTTTACATTGAATATTTTGTTAAGAATTCAATATGCACACTGGATGAAATATTTTCATTTTCAAGGGCAAAGAAGATATTGATGCCCCCCACAAATACTCACATTTTCAAAATTGTGCACAGGATGCTTTCTTTTAAAGTATACTTAAACCAAATAGTATCTAACAAATGTTCTGGGACCAAAACCGCATTCAGTTTGAGAGCCAGTTTGGTGTAGTGGTTAAGTGCGCGGACTCTAATCTGTGAGAACCGGGTTTGATTCCCCACTCCTCTACTTGCACCTGCTGGATGACCTTGGGCAAGCCATAGTTCTGCCAGAGCTATTCTTGAAAAAGAGCAGTTTCTCTCAGAGCTCTCTCAGCCCCACCTACCTCACAGGGTGTCTGTTGTGGGGAGGGAAAGGGAAAGAAGTTTGTAAGCCGCTCTGAGACTCCTCTGGGTACTGAAGGGCAGGGTATAAACCCAATCTCTTCTTCTTCTTCATTTGTCATCTCAAGTCACACTCCATAAACTGCTTGTAAATTTAAGGAAGCTATAAATAAAATGCTATTTATATTCATAGTCCCATGTTAGAAAAGCTCATTCTTTCAGGTAAGAGGTCTAGAAGTTGTAAGGTTTCATGCGACCTCTTGGTTCAAAAAGTAACACAACTTAAATTAACTACGCATATGGATTCAGGCCTCATTCTTAAGCAATTTTGATAAGCCAGACCGACCCAGTGCAAGAATTCTGGATGGTGTAAACAATTCCAGGTTGTGCCCAATGACAGTACATTGAGTTATCCAGGTGATACTGCTGTTTTCCTGAAGAATTCAAATAACTCCATGTGCTACAAGGTTGTTGTTGTTGTTCAGTCGCACAGTCGAGTCCAACTCTTCGCAACCCCATGGATTACATCACGCCAGGCCCTCCTATCTTCTGTTGTGCTCTGGAGTTTGCTTAATTTCATGTTTGTTGCATCAATAATACTGTCTAACCATCTCATCCTTTGCTGTCCTTCTTCTTTGACCTTCAATCTTTCCCAGCATCAAGGTCTTCTCCAGTGAGTGCTCCCTTCTCATTTGGTGGCCAAAGTATTTGAGCTTCAGCTTCAGTATCTGGCCTTCCAGGGAACAGTCAGGGTTGATTTCTTTTTAAGATTGACTGATTCGATCTCCTAACAGTCCAAAGGTCTTCTCCAGCACCATAATTCAAAAGAATATATTCTTCAGTGTTTGGCCTTCCTTAAAAAATAAATAAATAAATAAATTATGGTCCAACTCTCACAGCCATACATTACTACTGGGAATGCCATTGCTTTGACCATACGGACTTTAGTTGGCAGGGTGATGTCTCTACTTTTTATTATGCTGTTTAAATTTGCCATCGCTTTCCTCCCAAGGAGCAGGTCTCTTTTAATTTCATGGCTGCAGTCACCGTCTGCGGTGATCTTGGATCCCAGGAACGTGAAGTCTGTCACTGCTTCCATGACTTCCCCTTCTATTTGCCAAGGAGTGATGGGGTCGGATGCCATGATCTTAGTTTTTTTTATGTTGAGTTTCAAGCCAACTTTTGTGCTTTCCTCTTTCATCATTAGCAAGAGGCTCTTGAGGTTCCGGCTTGTGATTCATCCAGGCCAGCATTTTGCATGATGTACTCTGCATATAAAATAAGAAGGGTGACAATACTGCCTGTCCTAGCCCCCCCTAACTGAAGCAGAACAATTGAATTAAAGCAAAAACTGGAATTGCTAGCACTTTAACACTATGTTTGATTTTAACACAGTTTTTATATTACTGTATTATTATTTATCAGGAACTGTATTAGTGTAATGAACCGTGTTTTATATATTATAAGAACTTTTATTCTGTTGTAAGCTGCCCTGAGCCAACCTAGGCTGGAAGGGCGGGATAAAAATCAATAAAATCAATTTAAAAATAAATAAAATACATCCTTGCCGTACTCCTTTTCCTATTCTAAACCAATCAGTTGTTCCATGTCCAGTTCTAACTGTTGCTTCTTGACCCTTATACAGGTTTCTCAGGAGGCATGTGAGGTGATCTGGTACTCCTATCTCTTTAAGGACTTGCCATAGTTTGTTGTGATCCACACAATCAAAGGCTTTAGCATAGTCAATGAAACAGAATTAGATGTTTTTCTGGTACTCCCTTGCTTTCTCCATAATCCAGCCAATGTTCGCTATTTGATCTCTAGTTCCTCTAGCTCTTGTACTTCTGGCAGTTCTCTATCCATGTACTGCTGAAGCCTGACTTTTAGGATCTTGAACATAACCTTGCTAGTGTGTGAAAGGAGTGCAGTTGTGCGATAGTTTGAACATTCCTTGGCATTGCCCTTCTTTGGAATTGGAATGTAAACTGACCTTTTCCAATCCTGTGGCCACTGCTGCATTTTCCAAATTTGCTGGCATATTGAGTGCAGCAACCTTCCAATACTTAAGCCAGATGTTACTGCATATTATGATGTTTGCTGCCTGTGCCCTGGCACAGAACTGAATATTGTCCTGTGATGCGTTTGAAGCAAATTCTGCTGTCCTCTTCATTTTCAGCAAGGATCTTTTTAGTTCCAGTGGTGCCACATCAGGGGTTTGCGGATGGTTGTCCGCCCATATCACGAGGGCTCTCATAGTTTGATAATGCTGCAGCTGAGCTACGTTCCAGCAACATTGCTTCATGCGCTTTCTTCAACGCTGCCTCATTTTCCCTATCCATGGCATCCTGTAATGCATTCTCGCCATCCTTGGGCAGTACTGCTCCTGAGTGCAGAACCACCACGGGGGCGTCCACCAGAGGTACCTTAAGATCATCCATGGTTTCCTCTGGCAAGGCATAGAATCATTTCCCTATAGATAACAAGGTGATCCCACTCCTGGGAGTGGCCCACTCCGCCTTCACAATGTCATCAAAGGCATCAGGAAAGGGTGAAAATGGCTGTACCTTGTCCATTTTTAAAAAACCTCTAGTGTCCAGCTGTGCAGAGACTGAAGATCTAGGCTTGTCTGCTACTTCCATCTGGTAGCTGAGCATGGAAATCACTTTGTTCAAAAACCGTTGGAAATGCTCTACCTGGAAAAGTCTGGATGAGGTGGTCTGCACCTCTGCCTCTTCCCCTGACCATTCTCCTTTCTCTGAGTTGTCGCCTATGGAGGTGATGACAGACGCAGACTCTGCGTGTTCTGACCTGTATGAAGGGGGTCACCCTCCTCTGGGTTTGGGCCCCCCTGCCTTCCACTTCTGTATGTGCCCATCTCAGAATGAGCCTCCTCTTCCCCAGAGGCCTCTGTAACCTCAGTCTGACCAGGCATGTCTGTGGCCTTTGGTCTCTTCCCTGCTGGAATTGGGGATCTAGAGCCCAAGGATGGAGCTGTTGTCCAAGATCCTTTTTCCTTTTGTAGTCCTGGATACAAGCCTCCCCCTTAGCTCCTGGTCCTGATGGGCTGCTGGGGTTGGAATTCCAGGGCCAGTAGTCCCGCCCCCTTGGGTCCCAAAGCCTGGGGGCCATTGTGATAGGACAGTCCGTGGGCCTCCCAACATGGGCCAGAGCCAGGTTGGTCCTGCCTGGAATTGTGGTGGCATGAAGGACCCGGGTGCCATGGCTATTGGGGCTTGCTGCTGTAGTGGCTGCAGTATGACTTGTGGCTGCTGGAGTACTGAATATGGGAGGCCCTGTGGTTGGAGGCTAGCCTGCCCCAGAACCCTGCTGCCCCCCTCACTCCCCAGGGACATAGGCCTTGCCCCTGGGGTGGTGCAGGCATGCTTCCTACAGGGCTTCTACACGGGCCTCTCCCCATGGCTGAAATGAGTTCACCGCATGGGCTCACCGACCCTCTCACCTTCCCACGTTCTCCGGCTGGTCCACCAGCCAATCTGCTAGTAAGTTTCTTCAGGTGTGGGGGGGAGCAGGAGCCAGCAGTCTCTGACCGCTCAACCAGCCCCATGCCGCTTCCTTTCCCTGTGCTGGCCTGCTTGGTTTATCTTTGGGCCAGTCCGCCGACTCACACCGCTCTACCTGACCCACGCTGCTGGTGTCCCCCAAGCCCATCAGCTCGGCTGCCACAATGATGATTAGTTGTGTTTCCTTCCCCTCTACCCCCGCAGCCTCGGAGGTAAAGAGGTCAGGCCCGGTAAGTCTGCTGCTGTTCCCACCTTTGCCCCGGCGTCCGAAGCCATGGATGGGGGAGGGAGTATCTTTTCCTTTGTTCCCGCGGCGAGAAATTCTTGTGGCATCCTTTAAGAGCTTTTTAGGAGCTTTCTTTTCTATTCCTCCTACCATTTAGAGGGTGTCTCTGGAGACGGGAATGGAGCTCCTGTTTTTTCCAATCTTCTCCCCCCCCCCCCCCATTTAAGGTTTGTTGGCT